TATCCTGATTTAAGTGTATTGTATAATTGTGTCTTGTTCTGTAGTTGTTCTAAATAAACTTGTATCCTGATTTAAGTATATTGTATAATTGTGTCTTGTTCTGTAGTTGTTCTGAATAAACTTGTATCCTGATTTAAGTATAATTGTGTCTTGTTCTATAGTTGTTCTGAATAAACTTGTATCCTGATTTAAGTATAATTGTGTCTTGTTCTATAGTTGTTCAGAATAAACTTGTATCCTGATTTAAGTATATTGTATAATTGTGTCTTGTTCTATAGTTGTTCTAAATAAACTTGTATCCTGATTTAAGTATATTGTATAATTGTGTCTTGTTCTATAGTTGTTCTAAATAAACTTGTATCCTGATTTAAGTATATTGTATAATTGTGTCTTGTTCTATAGTTGTTCAGAATAAACTTGTATCCTGATTTAAGTATATTGTATAATTGTGTTTTGTTCTATAGTTGTTCAGAATAAACTTGTATCCTGATTTAAGTATATTGTATAATTGTGTCTTGTTCTATAGTTGTTCAGAATAAACTTGTATCCTGATTTAAGTATATTGTATAATTGTGTCTTGTTCTATAGTTGTTCAGAATAAACATGTATCCTGTTTTAAGTTGTTCTAAATAAACCTATAAAACTCTTCTGGAACTATATCAGTTTTGTGTAAAGTAAGATTATTTTTCATTTGTGCAAGGGATAAGTCTGTTTGGTGTGTCAATGGCCTTTGACACACCATCAATGTGGGTAATATATTTTAATTGGTTACTTTTTATGTAAACATTACATACATAATCATGTATAACAGCAGTTTCCTTTGTCAGAACTTAAAATATAGTTTTTTGCCTATTGTCGAAATAAGTGGCTTTTACTTATATTTCTTAATAGTATAAATATATACTATGTTGTTGTTGGGCATATTATTCTTCTACAGTAGGTATCTGTGACTTGTTAGTGATAAATTCAATGATAAATGAACAGAACACACTTCACTTGTTTTCAAAGTAATATATATATATATATATATATATTCGGAACAAGTTAACATATGTACAACAAATTCTTCACATTATAAAGATGACAGGCATATCATAAACACTATTTATATATTGTTCTCTTCTTCTTGTCTCTACTGTGTGTGATTCACTTACAATTATGGTGCGAGTTACCATAATTGTTTGGTTTTCTTTCTTCAAAATATTCTGTTCCTTCTGTCAAAGTGCACTCCGGCTAATTCAATTACTTTAGAACCACGCTTTGACAGAATAAATTATTATTCTTGTATCCTTTTCTACTGTTATTCTTACTCTAACATATTAAACATTAGGCCTGTGTTAATCATTAGGCCTATCACTTCTGTTGTAGGTAATTTTACACTGAACTTTTCCTTGCCTGTAACTTTACTCTCTTCTGCTATTGTCTGTTTGCTGTTTACGCTCATCTCACGCTATTTGTATGGTTTTCTCTTAATCATCTACCTGCCTTCTAGAAGTCTATATTCTCGACGTCATTGTATTGCATGCGACGTTCGATAGTCTCAACATCAATGAATTATAAACACAACTTCCTACAAATGTCTGCTTTTAAC